CCTAGGTCAAAGTTGAATTTCCCTTCTAATTTTGTATTTTGGTGTCTAGCCCATAGAGTGCATGACTTCAAAATGTTTTTATCTTACTCCAAAATTTAAAGTCAGAAATGTTTTATTATTTCCAAAATATACAATATATTAAAAATAGCATATAAAAGGATTGCTGTTGTTATTGTTAGGTGCTATCAAGTCAAGTACGACTCACAGCAACCTGATGAACAACAGACCTGAACTCTGCCCTATCCTGTAATATCTTCATTATCTTTGAAACACTCAAACCCATTAACACAGTCACTGTGTCAGTCTATCTTATTGGGGCTCTTCCTTTCTTTCACTGACTCTCCACATTCCCAAGTATGATGTCTCTCTCCAAGGAACAGCCTCTCCTAGCAACCTGTCTCAAGGATGAGAGAGGAAGCTCGGCCATTTTTGCCTTGAAGAAGCACTCCAGCTGCACTTTTCCCCAAGATATATCTGTTTGTTGTTTTGGTAGCCCATGATATATTTAGTATTCTTCTCCAGTATGACAACTTATGAGTTCTTCCTCTATCATCTTTATTCATTGTTCAGCTCTCAGATGCATAGCAAGTATTTGAAAAGACCATGCCTGAAAGAGGCACACTTTAGATTTTACACTGACATCATTGCTTTTCAGTATTTTGGAGAGCTCTCTGACAGCAGACTTGCCCAATGCAATAAGTCTCCTGATATCCTGACTGCCAGTACCAACAGTGTTGACTACAGATCCAAGCAAGATGACATCATTGACAACTTGAATCTTTCTCCGGCTATTATGATGTGGCCTGCTGGCCAAGTGGTGAGGACTTTTATTTTCTTGAAGTTGATGTAATCAATATTGAAGGTTGCAGTCTCTGATCTTCTGCAGCAAGAGCTTCCAATCCTCCTTACTTTCAGCAAAGTGTGTCATTTGTATATTACAGGTTTATTAATCTTCCTCTGATTTTGATGCCATATTCTTCTTTACAAAGCCCAGCTTTACAAAATATTTGCTCAGTATGCAAACTGAATACATACAGAGAAAGGATACAACCTTGGTGTACACCCTTCCTGATTTTAAACCATGCACTGTTTCCTTGCTACGTTCAGACAACAGCTTCTAGGTCTATGGACAGATTTCATATAAGCACAATTAAATGTTCGGGGATTCCCTTTCTTTCCAATGGTAGCCATAGTTTGTTATGATTCATAGAGTCAAACGCCTCGACATAGTTAATACAACATGAATAAACATTCTTCCAGTATTCTCTGTTTTCAGCTGGGATCCATCTGTCATCAGCAATGATACCCTTGGTGCCTCAGCTTGAACTTCTGGCAGGTCCTTGTCAGTGTACTTTTCTAGCTGTTTTTGGATGATCTTCAGAAATATTTTGCTTTCATGTGAGATATTAATGATATTGTTTGATAATGTCCACATTCTGTTGGATCTTTTTTCGTGGGAATGGGAATAAATATGAATCTCTTCCAGTCAGTGGGTCAGGCAGCTGTCCTCCAAATTTCCTGGTATAGACTGGTGAACACATCCAGGGTTGCAGCTGGTAATTGAAACATGTCAACTGGCATCCCATAAATTCCTAGGGCTTTATTAGTACGAAGTAAGAATGTAGAAAAACTGGATATTGTAAAAATGAAATGGCATGCATGAAGATTGACATTTCAGGCATTAGTGAACTGAGAGGGACTGGATGGGTCACTTTGAATCAGACAACTATATGCTCTACTAGGCTGGGAATGAAAAATTGAGGAAGACTGGTGGTGTGCTCACAGATAAAAAGAGAATTTTATGATCTATCCTATAGTATAATATTGTGAGTAATAGGATAATATCCATATGCATTTAAGGAAGATCTGTTAATATGACTATTATTCAAATATATACACCAATAACTAAAGCCCAAGAGGAGGAAATGAGGATTTCTATCAACATACTCCTCCCCTTTATTTTTGTTTGATAAAAATAAAGGTTTACATACAAAATTCATATATGTTGTGAATCATTCAAGTACACAGCACTTCACACATTACTACATTTACATTTTGCAGTCCAGTCTGAAATTAATTAAACATGCTATCAAGATGCATTAATAAATATTAATGACTAGAATGAAAAAGCTGGAAACAGGAGGAAGGAACGGTAATCAGAACTCACAATCTTGCTGACAGAAATGAGGCTGGAGGTCAAACGACTGAAATTGGCACATTCAATGATTTATTCATAGCAAATAAGTTTTAAAAGAACACAATTTTACACTGTATACATGGACCTTTCCTGATGAACCACACAGTCCACCTCCATCAGATTGATTCTATCTGCAGAAAGAATCATTGGAGCAGCTCAATGTCAGCACTGAAAACCAGGCCAGGTGCTGACAATGGAACAGACTATCAATTACTCATGCGCAAGTTCAAACTGAATCTGGAAAAATGAAAACTAGCCCACAAGAACCAAAATAAAACTTTCAGTCTATCCCACCTAAATTTAAAAATTATCTCAGGAAAAGGTTTGAGGCACTAAACATTAAAGATCCAAGACCAAAGGAGCTGTGGGGTGGTAACAAGAATATTATCCATGAAGAGTGCAAAAGGTCATTACAAAGTCAGAGGAGAAAGGAAAAACCAAAATGAATGTCAGAAAATGTAATTAAAGTATGTGAAATTAAGAATGTGAAAATGTAATTAAGGTACTGAGAAGCCAAAATAATGGGAAGAGATGCTAAAGTAAAAGAGCTGAACAGAGGATTTTAAAGGGCAACTTGAGAAAACAAAGTAAAATATTATAATGAAATATACAAAGAGCTGGACTTAGAGAATAAAAAGGGAAGATGTCAAACTGAAAGAACTAAAAAACAACATCAAGCCTTCAGCTGTAATACTGAGAGATGCTAGGTGTAAAATCTTGAGTAATCTAGGAAGCATCAAAAGAAGACAGACTATACCAAAGGGAAAACCCAGTAGGTTGACACTGACGATTTCAAGAATACCAGATGCACAAGAGCCAATGCTAACGAAGGAAGAGGTTCAAGCTGAGCTGAACGCACTGGCGGAAAATGTGCGCCCAAGAATTGATGTGATACATAAAAGGATTAGGGAACAACCAATGAGCACAGATACAAATAAAGACACAGAGAAGACACTGTGAAACATGTGACAGCAACCACCTAATATAAGAGTTGGCAACAGAATGTCATATATTCGTACGTTTTTAGGCTCCTTGCTTGCCAAGACAGCAAACCATTGGCTAATAAACAAACTTCATCCTTAAAAGTAGCTAAGCAGGGAGCGCTGGTGGCCTAGTGGCAAGAAGCTGTACTGCAATCCCAGAGGTACGGTTCAAATCCACCAGATGCTCTGCCGGAGAAGGAGGGACAATTTCCTCCTGTACCAGTCAGATCTGATTTGATGGTACATGCACAAAAAATGATTTTTTTAAAAAAAGTAGCTAAGCAGTGCAAACCCAAGAAAACTTCTGAAATACACAAGTTGTATTGTTGTAATGTTCCATCCAGTCTCCTGCTACTTGTAGCAACCCTACGTACAATAGCTCTGAAGCCTGCCCTGTCCTGAGCCAGTCTCACGGACTCCGACACACCTACCCCCATTATCCTAGTTACTGTGCCAATCCATCTCACATGGAGTCTTCCTCTCCTGAGCTGTCCCTCCACCCTTCCAAGCATGATGACCTTCTCCAAGAACTGGTTTCTCCTCACCACATGCCCAAATGTATTTCCTGTCACTCAAGCAGTTCATCTTGTGTTATTTCTGCTATAGGATCACTGAAAATGAAGACAACGAGCATCGAGCTTCTGCTTAGATTGAGGAAAAACATATGGACATAGACAGTGGTGGGACTTGCACGCCTGGTGAATGTAACTGATGCCACAGAGCTGTGTACTTAAAGTGGTTTCAAAAAGATAGCATTTCAGTGTGTCAGCTTTTATTTTAGTTAGCTACTGGGAGTGCTGGTGGCCTAGTGGCAAGAAGCTGAGCTGCAATTCCAAAGACACATAGTTTGAGGCCACCAGCTGCTCCACAGGAGAAGGACGGGCAATCTCCTTTCATGCAATTAACTGCCTCTGAAAACCCGCCAGAGGGTCAGCTATGGGTCGGTTCCAACTCTTCAGTACACAACAGCAATGGGATTATCACACTTTATTTCCTCCCCTATTGGAAGGTATATACTTGTTGCTCATGACCTCTGCTTCTAAGAGAATATCAAAAGCACTTCCTCTACTCCTCCAACACTTCAGCGCAAAGGCACAGTTCCTAGGGCCTCTAATTTCCTAAAGAACCAACTCTGAGTGGCCATCACACCTTTAACATCCATATTTATATCTGTCAGATGGTTATGTAGCAGGAAGAAGATGACACGTCCGCATCGGTTGTCCAGAAGGGTCCTGCAAGGACATTTCTTCAGCCACTTAATGCTGAGTAGATGTGATATTCTGCAACATGCTACAGCATTCAATCGGAGCTGAAAGGCCACAGCCTGAAGGCACTTCACGCCTCCACAAGGAACTGATGTAGAGTCCAGCTGCAAAGTCATTCCCATTTGTCAAGAGTGGTTTGAACACTTTCCAGAGACCCACCCATCCACACAAACAATGATTTCAACAAAACGAAGACAAAACAAAACAGAGTGACTCTGCAGCAGGCAGCAGGTTACAGGCCGATCTGATGATCAGCCTTGCGACTTCTGTGCTGTTATCATATCCAGAGTCTCTGCACGGTCCATGTACCAGTCAGGATCTAATTAGACTTGAACACATGAACCTATTCATACATCTGACTGACAGTTCACAGCTCTGAGAGGACCATGTGGAGTAGACAGACACATACCAGCTTCAGGGTTAGTTTTAAAAGCTCCGAATCAACTATCAAAAAATTGACAGACTCTCATTATCCCATGCCCCATCCACTACCCCCTCCCATTTACATGCAGCAGATATTCCAATGAAAATCCAGTTTGCCCAGGCAGTACTTACCTCATTGTCGGATTCCACTAGGACTTGATCATATTCACTAAGTGCTACTAGAAACATGATAGAGGTGACATTTTCAAAGCAGTGTATCCATTTTCTTCTCTCTGACCTCTGGCCCCCTACATCCACCATTCTGCAAATTTAATAATGTTCACATCAATCATATGTAAAAGAAAACACCACAAGTACAAGCGCACTTACACACTCAGGTAAAATAAGATCTTTAAATTCAGTTAATTTCATGATTATTTATTGTTGTTAAGCATCTACTCATTTTCCAATATCTAGCAAAGTCAAGATATTCTGGGTAATAAGCCATGGCTATGTGAGATTTACCAGATGTGTATAAAAAAGGTGACTAACTGGGCAACAAATCCCATGTGAGCACCCACCCAAACAGGGTGTGTTATTTAACAGCAGCACTGAAGAGTCAGAATCAGAATGAGTGTTATTTGTGCTATCAGTGGCAAATACTAAACTTGGCTTTCCTTTCTTCTAAAACAAAACCAGAGATCTCCATACATTCCTCAAGGATGGAGAAGGGGCTGCAGCGCACAGGGAAACTTGTCAGATGCAGTCGACTTCTGTGTGCGTATGAGGGCATGCGTGCGTGCACACACGATTTTGCACTGTAGGCTGTTTCTTCCGGTAGCCACGTTGTACTGGTCTAGTTGTGCTGAATAACAGAGTGCAGTTAATGTTTGCACAAACCAAATGGCTAACCTGCTGGAAGTGAAGTCAGAACATGAAGATGCTGTAAAGACACCATCCCTTGACCGTCATAGGAAGGATTTCAGAGATGTGTTTGATCCCATCATGCTCGTGCTTTAGCACAACAGTCTGAGAGTTCTTGCTCAGGGACTAATACAGGACATGGATTCACTTGAGTGACAACATATACGTGGAAATAGCACTCGAGCCTAGCACTCAATCCATCAGTTTCTTATTGAATTGCTATCTTGATTGAAATGCACAGAGTGCTTGCAGGTTAACATGGTCTCAGAGAACATACTGGGTTAGGAACAAGAAGTCTGAGAGCAGGGCTCTTTAAACACTTGCTGCTGCTAGTTTTTCTGCCTCAAATTATTAAATTAAGAAATGAAGTATCATATAGTTTCTCCTAAAACCTTTCTGAGGTGCAGAATAGATATCAGAGTTGTTGCTGTGGTGCGCCATCAAGTCAGAACCAGCTGACCCTCCAGCGAGTTGCCAGAGGCTGTAAAGAGCACAGGAGGAGGCTGCCCATCTTTCTCCCCTAGGGCAGCTGTTGGATTTGAGCTGCCTGTCAATGCTGGCCATACAACTCCTCACCCACCAGGCCACCAGTGCTCCCTAAGACGCACTACAATTCAGGGAGACAGAGGAATCACGGATGCCAGAACCGGAATTCCCAGGTTTCTAGAAATCTTGAAATGCTAGTTTCTCTCTGATGACATCAAATGTTGCTCATTTACATGAAATTCTTCCTCTGTGAAATCCTGTCCCACAGGCTACAGAGTATGCTTCTGAAGATGGGGCAAAGTGATTCTTGTGTTACTCTTACTGTCATGATTAAAATGTCCTTCAAATGCGAATGTACAAAGCACAAGATGTAATTATAATCTGTTTCAAAATCCACTAACTGTGAAGCAATGAGGGGATAAAATACTCTCCCAGGAAATGTAACACGCTTTCTGAAACCATCTCATAATATGATAATCAGGGGAAGGAAATCTGGGTGTCTCAGATGACAGCTCTCTGAATGCTATAAATTCCAACCCTAAGTATTTCAGAATGTTAAAGGGATGTGGGGGATTCATCTAAACCAATCATTTTAGAGGTGAAAAGGAAAATGAGCTCAGAAATACTTCCACTTTATAGTCATGTCTATTTGAGCAGTGTATTGCAGCCAGATGTGACCTCAGGCATGGAGACCGACTAGAATAAACCACACAGGCCTTGGCAGGGAGTGACAGATGGCCTGCTAATCCAAATTATATGGTGGCTCAACGCCTACCTCTTAACAGTATTGTACCAAGTCTTCTTTCAGGAGAGACAGGCTCTCCTGCAGAATCCAGCCCTCTCTCCTCGGAGACATTATTCACACTGCCTGCATGGCTTTGTTTCTCAAAGCACTGTGTGGTATTATAATTAAAAGTACAACTGAAAGATTGTGTAATGAAGGAGTAAATGAAAGACTATTATGATAATCTATTTGTCTCTAGTCTCAAAAAAAAAAATTCAGAATGCTTCTGTTGAAGTATTACCCAGGAAGAAGAGCAACAGGGAGGGAGCAAGGACTACATTTCATTCTGCTTTGCTACATCAATTTAAACTAGGCTAATTAACTTCTTTCACAACCATTTTTTTAGTAACTAATTTTATGGATACAATATACAGATTTTGTATCATTATTGAGCAACTTTGCATTGATTCTAAAATAGCTGGAAGAAACATCAACATGAGAATTTCTTAATAATATCAATCATTAATGGTTAGAGGATCACTCATTTCTCACATGACTCTAAACACATACACATTGTTCTCATAGATGAAAGGATTTGAAAAAAAAATTAGCTCAGATTAAAGTTTCAATAACCTGATTTTGTTCCATCAATCAGCAGACTAAGATTGAATTAATTTCTTAGTAATTTAAATTGGAATCCAACTGCTTCTAGATCTTTCCCCTCCTCTTTTAAAAACAACCTATAAATTTACATGTCTAATGCTGTGGGCTGGAAGTGACTTGTCAGTAATTAACAAGAGTAACAGCAATGATAATAATGGACACAAGGCTATATATTGTATTAATACATTGATATTTTCACCTAGGACTTCAAAATTTACAGAGATCGTTAAATGGATTCAAGGCATAAGAGGTGGGAAGTGGATTTGATGAACTTGGTTACTACCTGAAAATGACACTTTGTAAGTCAAAAGGGTATTCGATGATCCCTGTGGTGGGGACTCGAACTCTAAGCACATCTTGTTGAGTAGGCAGATACGCAGGGTCGGCTACGCGGTCCAAGTCATTAAGATAGCTGAGGAAGAAAGACACAATTAGAAAGTCATTCGTCAATAGCGCTATCACATACAATCCATCTACACAAGGGGTAAAATATGTCAATAACAGAAGTGAAGATAATGACATTTCTACAATTGTTGTTAGAAGCTGTGAAGCTGACCAGGACCTGTAGTGACCCAATGCACAAGGGATCTGAACCACAGCCCATCCAGAACCAGCCTCATAACCACTGTCACACTGGAGCTCAATGTGACAGGCACTGTGTCAATCTATTCAGCAGTTAGGAAATCTGAGGAGTGAGTCCTCCGTTAACCAGAAAAAGTTATAAATCTACTGATCACCTAGTCACATTGTTTTAAACTTCTCCTTTCAGTACTTAGAACGCTTATCAAATGTAAATGGAGTGGAGGAAGGAAAAGAAATTAAAATTTGTTTCCTAGTGGTAAGAATCTGCACTACAATCCCAAAGGCACACAGTTCAAATCCGCCAGCTACTCATCAGCTATGGGTTGGTTCTGACACTCAATGGTACACAACAACAAACACAACACCACTTATTTGCTCAGTAAGTTGGTAAAGCAATAATTTCTAAGCTATTTATAAAAATCGTATTTATATAAATAGATTGAGATCAGGATGTACTTTGTTACTTTTTTGCTGGGTACAAGTCTTTTCCTGAAAGGAATTTCCTTATTTCCTTTTGAGAGAACAGCAAAATATCATGTCCTTTCTGCCAAAAGCTAACTCACTCATAAATGCCGTGGGGCCACATTACTGAATTCACTCCAGTCAGAATGCCTACAGTCAGAGACTCCCAGTGTTTACTCACCTTCATTTTTATTTGGTTCTATGATGCTTTTTTATGCCTTTAAATTTTTTCCTAACATTGAACAAATTCAGACTCCCCAAAAGTTACAAAAATATTACATGATTTCCCATATAAACTTCACCCAGCTTCCCGGAAAGAAAACATCTTACATAGTCACCTCATAACTCATTGCTATTGTGTTACAATCAGTGTATAGCTGACCCGCCAGTGGGTTTTCAGAGGTTGTGAACAGTGTGAGAAGAGACTGCCCATCTTTCTTCTGAGGGGTCATGGGGAGAATCGAACCACTGGAGAGGTGCTAGCAGCACAACTCCTCAGGGACTAAGCCATCAGAGCTCTCAGACACTCCCACAGTGCATCAGAAAAACCAGGAAACTGACATTGACACAGTTCTAGGAACTGTAGAAACACAGGTCTTTGCATTACAATATTTTTTATCAGTACCTATTTTGTGGGGTTGTATATAGTTCTATGGAGCTCTGGTTGTTAAGTGGTTACACCAAAAGGCTGTAGGAGAAAGATGTCACAATCCACTTTGGTAAAGATTCCTGATACCTGGTGCCATTAATTCCTACTCATGGTGACCCTATAGGACAGGGGTCTCTATGAATTAGAGACCAAGAATTCCAAGAGTTCTTGGAATTTCTTTTATTTGTCATTTAATCGCCACCAGTCAGGACACTAAGCTGCTCCATCACCATGAAGATATCCCCTCTGCTTCCCCCTTCCACAGGGACCCCGAGAAGCCGCAGATCTGCTGCTCAGGACTGTGCCACTTCAAACAGGTTTTACAAAAACCACCTGGTGGTTGAGAATGACATCAGTTAGTCTATCCTTTTCTGAGGGGTATCCTCGTGATTTCAAAGCATGACTATAATCCTGTTTGGCTTCCAGAAGACAAGACACCAGGCTTGGTTTCAAAACACATTCTTATAAGAGGAATATGCAAAGTAACTAACTTCTGAGCAAAGTTCAAAGATTTGGGAGTATGAATAGGCCTAGACAAAGATGGATCTTCAACGACTTTATTTGTATTGACACAAAAGACTCACAGGGGGTTCTGGTGTACCTGACAGAGAATGTCTGGTAAAGCATGCTATAGCTGAGCCACAGCAGATATTTAACTGACAGGACCTATTTTGGATAAGTAGGATAAGGACTATATAATACTCATTATTATTTCTGCTACTATACTTAAAAGAGTATCCAGAAAATAATCCAAAAGCAAACAAACAAAGAGCCCCACTGCCATTGAGTGGGTTCTGATTCAGAGTGACACCACAGGACACAGCTCCGTCCATGGGACACAGCCCCACCCACATGACACAGCACCGCCCACAGGGCACTCAAGGCTACAGCCCCTGCAGAAGCCACTGGCCCTGACTCTGTCCTGCAGAGCACCTGCTGGGTTAAACTCCCCCTCTCAGTTAACAGTTGGGCACCTGAACAAACACTAGAGTTTATTGTCGCACACAGGACTTGACGAACACTCATCAGGCGGAGGTACGATTTGCTACACTGAAATTTAGCATTATTTCATCATCATTCTTACTATTCTCCCACTCACTTACCAGTCTGATATGCTGTGGTGGCTTTCATGTTGCTTTGAGGCTGGAAGCTATGCACTGGAATTTCACATGCCAGGAGGATTACGTATGACAGAATTGTTCTAGCAGAGCTTCAGACTAAGACAGACCAAGAAGAAAAGACCTAGCAATGTATTCGAAAAGTTAAGCCAAAGAAAACCCTATGAGTCACAACAGAGTACTGGCTGACTGGCTGTCCTTCGAGGTGCCCTTGAGCTGACCCTGTGGAGACTACACCCAGCAGACAGGAATCCAGCCCTGTCCCATGCCATTTGCACTGTGTCCGACATGCTCCAGCCCCCAGTCACTGTGTCACTCCACCTTGTTGGGCCTCTACTTTCTCTTCCACCTTTCCCAGCATAATGTGACAGTCCCTCCTGACAATATGCCTAAAGTATGTGACACTAAGTTTTCCCATCCTTGCCTCTAAGAAGCACTCTAGCTCCACTTCCTCCAAAACAAATTTGTTTGTTTTGTTTGTTCTTTTGGCAGTCCATGGTAGAGTCAAAACGCTTCTCCAGCACCACAACTCAAAGGCATTGCTTCTTCGGTTATCCTTACTTATCATACAACTTGTAGATGTATACAAAGCAACTGAAATTACCATGGCTTGGATCAGGTGCTTGCTTTGCTCTTTAGGAGTTGAAAATCTGCTTTACGTGCTCTTATGAGTTTGGCACTTGTCTTATCAGTTTTTGGAACAGTGGTGACTTGCAAGTTGCTATGATGCTGAAGCCATGGCACTGATACTTCAAATTCCAGCAAGTTCACCCATAGTAGACAGGCTTCAGGCCTGCTTTCAGATTAACAAGCAGGACTGGCCGTTCAAGTCTGAAATAACAGGTCTTCAAAAACTCTGATATTATTGTTGTTGTTGTGTACCATAGAGTTGGAACTGACCCAGAGCTGACCCTCAGATGGGTTTTCAAAGGCAGTTAATTGCATGGCAGGAGATTGCCCAACTTCTCCTGTGAGCAGCTGGTGGCCTCAAACTCCATGCCTTTGGGATTGCAGCACAGCTTCTTGTCACTAGGCCATAGTGCCCACTTTACCTTTTGGATCTATATGACCTTATTGGATCTTTATCTGATATACAGTATCACTGGAAGATGAGTCCACTAGGGTAGAAAGTATTCCAAATACACAGTGGTTACAACAATGGATCAAACAAGTAAAGACTAGAGCCACCCCGTCACGTCAGTTTGCAATACAGTGGGTGACCTGCACATTGCTGTGAGGGTGGAAGCTATGTCACTGGGATTTCAAATACCAGCAGGGTGACCCCTGATAGACAACATGTTGTGGTGAATTTTCCAGACTCAGACAGATCAGAAAGCTAGGCTGGTGGTCCAAAAACAACTATCAGAGAAATCTTTATAGATTGCATAAAAATACTGTCTGATGCATCTGCTTTGGGCACATCATCCGGAACGATCATGTGGTGGGGAAAAACTTCTACTCTGGTGAAGCAGAGGGTCAAAGACAGTGAGGGAGATCCTGTGAGATGGAGTGCCCCCCTGCCCCCACCATGATGGACTACAGCATCCAGGATGCCAAGCAGGTATGGCTTTGCTCCTTGGTACATAGAGCTGGCATGAGCTGGAGTCAAAGTGAAAGCAGTATATACCTGTTCTTATTCGTGCTGTTTCCATTTGAAGGATATCCTTACTTTTTAAACTGAAGGTTAAAAAGAAATTCTAGGTTAAATCGTTAAGATTGATGGAACCAGAGAAGAATAAGGCGGAAGCAGAGTGCATACCTGCAACTAACCATGGAAGGAGTTTCGAGGCTGAAAAAGAAAAATAAAATCAGAGAATGTAGGGCTCTACCGGGAGCTTTGGTGGCTTAGTGCTAAGACGCTACACAGCAACCACAAAGGCTTGTGGTTCAAATCCAGCGGCTCTGAGGGTGAAGGATGAGCAATCAATCTCCTAGAATGTGATTTACTGTCTCTGAAAACCTGCTGGAGGGTCAGTCCTGACTTGAAAGGAAATAACAACAACAATAATAAGGCTATTAGCAGAACCTCGAAAATGTTTATGCTGCTTGGACAAAGCCCCAAGAATGTTATTTCCTTTTCAGTGTCAGTACAGTTCACAGAGAGGAGCAACAAAGGACCTGTCGTAAGTACAAGTTGCTGTGCGGCGTCTCTTCCACCTGGCCATTACCTGGGCATCGGCACAGAAAGGCCAGCAAAAGGCCACTGGGGATGTGTCCGGCTTATGAACTCAGCATGGCAGTAAGCAAAAGCCCTTGCCTGACATTCGTTTGCTCTGCCTCACTTGGGTAATACAAACGCGAGCCTGAAGTAGGAGCCCTGACCCCATGCTCTGCCCTCAATGACTCACAGGCTTTCCTTCCACACCGGCTTGTCGTGAAAGCCTCTCTATTTCCATACACATGAAGGTGCATCATGACAGGACTAGGGCATCACCAGTGTTGATGTGAGTCACATTTTGAGACAAGAAGCTGGAATGAGTTCAGAACTGAATTGTACTTCCTGTGGAAACATTTCAAACGACAGAGGAAAGATCTGGTGGGATGTGGAGGTTGGGTTCATGTTGGATTATTCCATTCATTTAACCTTTTAAAAAGAAACAC